GTGTGTGTGTGTGTATATACTGAATTTGTGTTTGAGGTTTCCTTTCAAGTCCAATGTATTTTATTGCACTTCGTGAAAAATTTTATAAAATTGACAGGATACTGAAGGCAGCCAATTGGAAATAAAGATCATGTTGACCTTTAGTCCTTATTATACTCAATTACCTAGACATTTTCTGATTTGATTTACCTCCATTTAAAGAAATAGATAAATAAAGGTAAGCAGTTCCAAAGCACCAAGAAGGATGGGACTTTCTACTCCTGTAAAGCATCAAAACCTCTCCTCCAGGGGGGAGGGAGTGGAGAATGATGGAAACAACTTTTGGGAACCCTAACAGGGAGTGTCCGTGGTGGTATGCATTGAACGGGCCACATTGTCCCAGGCTTCTGGGAGGATCCCGGGGACCCAGGTTGAGTGCCGTGAAATGCCGGGGCATTGAGTCCTGGATCTTCAGGGCACATGGCCTGCTCCAGATGCTTCAACAGTGAGATCTGGTGCGGAAAAGCTACTGAAGGGACTGGATTCTACCTCTGACACATTTGTAACCTAAGACTTAACCCTGAAAAATTTGTGGTATCTGAGGAAGTGGAAGAGAGCTGTACCAAAATTGTTGAACCGTCGGTAGTCAGACAATCATCATCTTGTTACATCAAGGCACTAGATGCTGTATTACAGATATATCTTATTTCAGCAAACCTGTGACTGATATTCTCAGTGAATATTATTGTAAATTTTTCCTGACAACTAACTCCCATTGTTTGTATAAATAGCGTCCAGCCATGAAAGGATTGATTCTGTACAAGTGAATAAATCAGGTACTGTGATATGGTTTTAGCCTACATTAGCCCAATATCCCTCTCTCAACAGGGGTCTTAAAAATTAGTACCAGGGGATAATCAAAGATAATATTAACAGAAGATCTTCATGCCCCAGGGAGATGTTCAATAAGACACTCTACCATAAATTAACAAGGAAATTTTGAAAGGGAGCCAAAGGGGGAAAAAACCCATCAATCCAGGAAAGGCTTTTGGCCTCACACTAAATCCTAGTTCCACTTTAAGAACAATTAGTTCTTACATCTTGGCCTTGCTTGGTACTCGCCCTCTGGAAGGGAACACAGGAGACACGGGTGCTGTAGCAAAGAGTGGTAAAGAAATTAGATGGTGCCTCGCTATCAAATAAAATAGCATCTGGGGTCTTAAAAGCTTGGCTACAAACAAGCAGTCATCTAAGTGAGATGTCAACTTAAGTCCACATGGAAGAAGCACAGTGACCTACGGATTGTAAATCATGCAGTCCAAAGCTGAAGGCGGGAATAGTATCAGAGCCTAAATTGTGTGAGTCTGGATGACAGTGGTAGCTCAAGATTCATGTGTGAGATCCACATAGGCAATAAGGTTCTGGTGATTTCCTTCTATCCATAATAGAGAGATGGGAGGAAAGTTGTTCCCAAAAAGAGTGCATTGGGGGATAAGTATAAAAGCTCCAAATGATAAACCTGACTTGAACAGTTACAACCTTGTCAGTTGATCCCCCTTCTGATGCCTGTTAGGCCTGATCTGGTTTACAACATTTTCTGTATTTTGTTTGCTATATTGAGTTTTATCTCAAATGGGTTATGGCATTGGAGGGTCACCCTCTTTAATTTTTATTATACGTTTTTTCTGTCAGTACATGAAAACCCATGATTGATGCAAGGGACAGCAAGTAGAATAAGGGTTCTTGGTGGGGGGGCGGGTGGTTCAAAGGGAGCTGACATCAAGGAGTTCAAGAAGAAAAAGTATGTTTTGAAACTGTGATAGCAATTGTACAATGCTACTTGATATGATTAAACTATGGAGCGATATGGTATCTGGATCAGTTCCCAGTAAAATGGTTTGAAAGGAAAAGTTACAGCTTCAGAAACTCACAAGGTCAGTTCTACCCTGTCCTGTAAGCTTACTTTGAGTTGAAATTGACTCGATTTCGGAGATTTTTTTTTGCATTTTCTATGTCTTATCAATTCTTCTTAACAATTTGACATCTCTTCAATAGTGACAGACTCCATGAAGGTGAATGAAATCTATATAAGTAAAACTAAACATGTGACTATAAGACGAATTCCTTCAATAAGCTAGATTGGCACGGTGGCTGCAACAATGGATTCAAACAAAGCAATGAGTGTGAGACTGGGGCAAGACCAAGAATCGTTTCCTTCTGTTGTTCATAGGGGCCAGATCAAGAGTGACAATCAACTTAAAGGCATTTGACAACAACAACTTCATGAAATATTCAAATCGTCATAGATCAATGACCCAAACTGGACTAGATAAATCCCGTTTATAGGGCTCAGCATTTGAAAACATGAAATAATTTTGGGCCTCCATTCCATGAAATGTCAGACTTACTTAAGTAGTTCCAAAGTCCTATTCAGTGCTAATACTCATCAATGACTCCATTTAATAAAGAGGCGTAATCAGGACTGATAAAGAATTGCTAATTGATTATTAGCTCTTGGTTTGCATGTATTCTTTAGTTGGGTGCACACATGCATACGGTGAGAGTGATTGCTCCCTTGTACTAACTTTGACATTCATAAAATCAAAAAGAATAGCAAATGTTCATTTTTTTTCTTTTATTCAATGAACAAAGCACTAACAACTAACCAATACCCGTAGTTCAAAGAGCAGCATTAGGAGCATTATACACTCACCATTTTTAGGGCATCGTTTTAAATTTTTTTAATGGTAGAATAATATGTTGCCCTAAAATCAGACTAAAATCTATACTGGTTACCTGAACAATTTCAGTGGAACCTAATCAAAATCCAAAACTTACAGCCTTTCTAGTCAATTCCAACTCTTAATGACCCCTTAGGGTAGACTACAATTTCTGCATACATTTTCCAAAGGCTGTAACTATTTACGGAAGCCAACCCGCACATCTTGCCCCTACGGAAGCCAACCAGCACATCTTGCCCCTGTGGGGAGATGGGTGTGTTCCACCACCCACCTTTTGGTTAGCAGCTGCGCACGCTCACCACTACCCCACCAGGGTTACTGCCAGTGGAACCTACAATCAAAAACCCATTTCCATTCACTCAGTTCCAACTCATAGTGACCCTCTCAGACAGAATAAACGATTAGATAGGATTCTGAGATTAAATCTTTATAGGATCAGATAGCCTTGTTGTTCTGCTGAGCAGTTGGTAGATTTGATGGGCGAATCTTGCACTTAGCAACTAAATACTGAATCCACTGTGCCGCCAGCTCTTTTTAGTGGCACCCCCCACCCCCCGCCAAAAAAACCCCAGATTTTCCCTTTAGGATGAAAATACATGGCTGGCATTAGAATTGGGAAGGAATCCTGGTGACACTGTTGGCTAATTGCAAGGTTGTCGGATAACCACAAGTTTGTCTGTTCAAATCTACCAGTACTCCAGAGGGGGCAAAAATAAGGAAGCTGTTAGTTCCTGCCAAGATTGACAGCCTTGGAAACCTTATATAGGGTTTCTATGAGGGAGATACGACCCAGTGACAGTTGTATTAGAAATAGTAACATACTTTAGACATATTCTCTTACTTGACTCAGATATCTACAAACCAAATCCATGAAGTCCATTAAAAAAAAAAAAAGAAAAGCCAGTGTTCACTCCACCCTACATACTGATGCCTGCCAAGGTGTCTACCACTCCCTCTCTCTCCTAAATTAAGAGGCCGCTTGGTATACATTTTGTTTCAGTTTCCAGGACTTTTTACTTCTATACACACCAATGAAACATAGTATAAATGGGCATGGTAGTCACATAGCTACATAGTAATATTTTCACTACAGAAATAAGTGGGTAATCCCAACCAATTCAAGACAACTTTATTGATATGATTCAGAATCACAACTGTAACTACCCAAAGCCTGCTCACTGGCCAAATGCATAGTCACCTGAGAGATAAACAGAAAGAGGATATACATTTTATAAAACTATATTTGCAGCAATACAGGCAGCATTTAATCCATGGCTAACCCCAGGCTCAAGCATGGTTCCTTTCCTAGAGACATAAAGACAATGAATTCACTTGAATAAAAGCCTAAATATTGATTTATTAATGTATATAAATTAAATTTTGAAACAAATGCGACTTAATTGAATTAAAGATTTTATAAGTGCAAGAGCCTTCAAAAAGTTCATGGAAATTCTCCCTTTCTTTCATTTCATTTCCTAAAATGTTCAGTTTTCAACCAGAAATAATGAGATATTACAATAAATAAAAGTGTGACTATTCCTTGTGTTTTCATTCCATTTTTCCATGAACTTTTTGAAACCCCCTCATATGTGTATTCCAAAATTTGGCATAACTGCAATATAATATGTATGGCTCTGTGTATGAGGACTAGGTGACTTGGATTGGATGGCTAGAAACAGAATACTACTATAAAGATATGAAACATAAACTCATAACACACCTGTAAGGAAAAGAACTGCTTAAATGGAAAACTATTCCATGATTTGGACCAGTATAAGGTAATATAAATAAGAATGTGCAATGTTACATTTGTAATATATATATAAATAACATACATATATGTAAATATGCAATAGAAATAATAATAAGCCTATTTTATGACAGAGTATCAAAAAGTTGGTGGGAAAAATCATTTTCTTTTAAGTCTGTTTGTCAGTGAACTTTTTGATGCACAGTTCCATATTTTAAAATTAAAATCACCTCAAATAGAAATTCCATTTATGGTATTGAGGTTTTATAGCTAGGTAAATTGAGCATTAAAATTTTAAGCTATTTATATATATAGTATTAGCATTAAAATTTAAGCCATTTATATATAGTAATATGTTAAATTTGCACTACATTCCTTAGATGTACACATACATACTTCATTTTATTGTATTGTATTAAATTACCTTGGAATAAGTTGACTACATGTTTTTCATCTATAAAATTCTTTTAATCTTTAGATAAGTGCTTCAGAATATATGAATTTATCAAGAAAATAAACCAATTTCCTGTTTAGCGAATTCGTAATGAGTATTTTTTTAGCATGCCAACTGCGTTGATGTAGGAATAACCTTAAGTTAAATGAATAAGAAACTGTTATTTAATGTACGTTTGAGAGACCCAAGAGATCTGGCTTTTCTAAATTATCTTCTTCACTTGTCTTCTTCCAAGACAAATCTAATAGTTCTTTTGGCAATGCATCGTATATTCAATATTCTCCACCAGCACCATAATTCAAATGCATTGATTCTTCTTTGGCTTCCGTACTCAAATTTTAACTTTCATATGCATATGAGATCATTGAAAATATCATGGCATGGATCAGATACACCTAAGTCCTCAAAGCACCATCCTTGTTTTTCAATACTTTAAAGAGGTTATGTGCAGCATATTTACCCAGTGTCCTGTGTCATTTGAGCTCCAGACTGCTGCTTTCAGGGGCATTGATTATGCATCCAAATAAGATGAAATACTTCACAGCTTCAATATTTTCTCCATTTAACCTACTGGATGTTACCTACTGGTCCAGCTGTAAGGATTTTTTCTTTTCTTGACATTAAGTTATAATCCATCTCGAAGGTGGCAACCCTTGATCTTCATCAGGCCATGCTTCAAGTCCCTTCACTTTCAGCAAGCCAGGGGCTATTTTGCATCAATTTCTTTCGAGATATAAAAGAGAATGATAAGAACATCAGCAAATGGAGATGCAGGTTGATCATGGCCACATCACACGAAGATCACTAAGGAGCCAAGGAACAGAAGCTAAAGAGGCAAAGATCTTCCAAGGGTACTAATTTTCTGCCAAAGCCTTCCCCTGGAGCCACTGCCCTGAACTCAGACTCCTAGCCACCTAAACAGTGAGAATATAAATTTCTGCTTGTTAAAGGCACCCTCAGCCTTCTTCACCACACTTACTTATGCACACATTCGTCTTCAGCGTTTATGTGAGGAAGGTGGTCACACAATGATGGTTTTTGTTCTTTGGTGTCTGCTACCTGATCCCTTCAACAC